ACATTCTGCGGCGTACAATTAGACCTACTTGTAGATATTAATTGGGCAAGAATATGATTTAGACATGGGCAATTAATAATCAATGGCCTTCAGCGGCAATACCATTTAGGATTAGCATAATTTACAGATATTCGTGTGGAAAATAATAATTAACATGATATTCGAAATTCAATATTAAGAGTGGGCACAGAATACGCGCAGACTATACATCACAATAATAGGGGCAGCAGGGGCGGGCGCCGACCGTACAGTAATTAACATCATGACATCTGCAAGCGTACAATTAGAATATGACATAAGTATGCAAATCGAGTAAACAAGCGATTGAAGCGTATACGATTAGGACTTAATAGTAATTACATAGATAATGATATCTGGTGTGCATATAATTAAACAGGACATGCTGCGGGCTAATACAATTATAATAATATGTAAATGACAAGAATATGATTTCGGTATATAGATAATTGACATCACATTCTGCGAAACTAAATTTAGGAATAATTGTAATTAAAGAATGTTAGTGTAGAAATAATTACCATGACGTTTCCCGCGGAATACATAATATATAATAATAATTACACAGATATTTCACGTGGAAATAATATTAACCATAATAATTAACATGTTAAATTACAGGCTCAACATCCATACGCGCTTAACTACTGATGTACAATCACAAAATAGGGGGCAGCACGCGTACATGTAATTAACATGACATTCGCGGCGTACAATTAGGTGCAATAGTAATAACAAGATATGTATTCGGTGTGTCCGTATAATTAACAAAGCATCGCGAAAATACAATAAAGAATAATAGTAATTAGCAAGATATTCGTGTGGAACATAATAACTAACAGTGATGATATTCGCAATGTAATGCAAGCTATCACCTGTTCGCTATAATTAACGAGACATTCTGCGGCATATAATTAGAAAAGAGAAATTACAAAGGTATGATATCAGCTGTGCATATAATCTAACATAACATTCTGGGGCCGAGTACATCTAGCATCATGTATTAATTACAAGATATGTTATCGGTTGCATAATAATTAATGTGACATCTTGCGGATCATACTTAGAATCTACAAGATATTCACGTGCAAAATAATAATTAACATCAGATATCACATGCAAATGTAAGAGGCTGCATACAAACCGCTGGCCGACTACTATGGTATATCACACGAGTAGGCGGGCAGCACGTACATGTGTTTTGTTCCACTACATACCAACCCAAAAGGATGTATAATAATCAGCTATATGTAATATCTTTATTATAGTCAGAATTATATATATATATTATATACTATATATATTATATTATATATAATAATCTATTATTATAATGCTTCTGGTGGTATGTGTGCTAAATAAATAAATAAGAGCATTCGCAGCGGCATACACTTAAGATAATAGTAATGTATGATATCAGTGTGCAATTAATTAAGCGATGACATTTTCCCGCGTACAATTAGAATAATATGAAGTGCCAAGATATGAATTTCGGTATAATAAGTACGTGGCTCTACGTCCCGCTCCAGGCACACATTATAATAATGCGGCGCGATAATTCATGTGAATGGCTCAGTTTTAAGTCACAATAATTGACAGCGTGTGGTAGTTATATCGGTAAATTACGGGCGTAATGCATAAATCCTACTAGTACACATTATCTCATGGGCGAATAAAACGATTGCCCCTTCGTTTGTAATCCGGGCGTCTATTTGATAATCATGGCACTCAGCGCCATACCCATTTATGATGATAGTAATAACAAGAATATGGTAATCGTGTGCATATAATTAACAGGCATAATACAGACAACAGGTGATGCCTAGCCCCAGTTCCCTTTTCTCGCTTAACGCTACGTTGGTCCTTACGCGTGTAACCAGTCGGGGGAAGCCTGAAAGTTTAAGGTGACCGAACACGGAACTGTGACGAGTTTTTAGGCACTGAGTATAAAAACTGCATGTTCATTGCAGAGACAACCTGGCGCAGTGCTATGTGCGTGCTATAGTATTGCTCTCCCGCATATTAATCAATATCTACTTCCAAAGTCCGACTCCGTGGCGCATCATTAATGCAAGGAGCGCGGGCGCGTAGATGCGGCACCCCGCGTCGTTCGTGCGCCGCCGCGCACGGCAGCGACGCAGCGACGTGCGGCGACCATCTAGCGACGCGATAATTTATCACGAGGGGCACGACCGGCGTCGTCGGTGTGTTGCGAAGCACGACGTCGAACGTCCGGATAAAGGAATCTCGAATCGGGGCGCGTTCTCATAATGGGAGGGGATCTAACTTTGCGTGCATAAATGTCAATTATTGCATCTAAGTGCCCGAATTTCGGCGAAGAAATGCCAAAAAAGGCAATTTTTCTAGATACGAAACATAGTGCGACGGCGAACAATTTGCGAAAGCTTCCTGTTGGCATTGCCTCCTTTAGGAGCATTGTTTACTACTCAGGTAGCTTGCTAACGCTAATTTGTAGTTTTCTTCGTCAAGAGATGGCTGGGCACTATATGAGCGTGTGTGATCAGCGTGCGAGTGTGTGTGGCGCGCCACGCTCCTGTGGGCGTGGTGTGTGCGTGATTACAGTATCCTGGACATACGCGGTGTGTGTATCGTGTACGTGTGCGCTGTACGTACATGGGAGTGCGTGCGTGTACCGCGTGCGTGTAAATGTGTACGTTGATGAAGGAAGAGTTAGACGTGTGTTATCTACTACAGCTTCGCCAGCAGCTGCTAAACTGTGAGCCCTCTGCTTCGCTAATGGAATAGTTAGTTAGTGAAGCCAATCACGTGTCTGCCATCAGCCGTGACAACGTGGCTCCGGGCAAGGACATGTAACGGCCGAATATATCTCTTCAATCAATCCCTCTGCTCATCTCTCTTTCTCTCTCTCATCCTGCTTCTCTCCCTTACTCTCATCTCTCTCTCTCTCTTCTCTCTCTCTCTTTTTTTCCTCTCTTTCTCCTCTCTCTCTCTCTCTCTTCTCATCTCTCTGCTCTCATCTCTAATTGGGCTCGTTCTGTCTCTCTCTCCTCGTCTCTCCTCTCTCTCTTCTCTCTATCCTCTCCCTCCTCTCCCTCTCTCTCTCTCTTGCTCGTATCTGTCTTTTTCTTATGCTCTCTTTCTTGCCTGTCTTTTCTCTGCTGCCTTTCTCGTTCGCTTCTCTCTCGCTCTCTCTCTCTCTGTCATCCTGCTCTCTCTCTCCCTCCTCGCTTCGCATGTGTGTCTCACTCTCGTCCTTTCTCCTCTCGCATCTCTATTTTCTCTAATCGCCTATGTCAACTTGTGTGTGCGTGCGTGCGTGCGTGCGTGCGTGTGACGTGTGTGTGGTGTGTGCGCGCCCCCGCGAGTGTGTATTAGCAAGGTATTATAGCTACTGTGCTTGTGTGTACATTTGAGGAAACAGCCCTGGAAAAAAGTCGCCCTGGAAAGTGGAAAAAGAGCCCTGGAAAATGAAAAAGTAGCCCCCGAAATTTTGGGGGGGTTTGCAAAAAGAGCCCCGGAAAGAAAAAAATTAATTTTTTCACTGCTTAGAACGTCTAGTCAGCAGCAGCCAGCAGCGAGCCAGCTGTTATACACATATGTATACATGTTACTAGGGTCCCTGTATACAGAGAGTTGTGCCATGACGAGTCGGAAAAAATTGGTCACGTGATCGCTGGACGGCATGTTGTTTCCAAATTGCTCCACACCGCTGCCGCTTAAGTACAGCGCTGTATGGATACGCTGTACAATGGTCCGTAGTAATTAATTAGACTAATCGTGCTTCAATAAACTCAAAATTTACAGAGATTATAGCTAAGACATGTGTCTATGCGTATCTAGATTTCTAGAACTGCAAAACACATGTTACAGCTGCGAGCGAGTGGAGAGTGGAACGCATTTATCTTGTGAATTACAGCTAGTTGTTATTATTCTTCCAAAATGACTAGCTGCTGTGTTTACACTAAGAAAGTGTACAATTAAGCTATCATATGGCGCGAACGATTTGAGTTACTTTTCTAGAAATCTAGATACATATAAACACATGTGTTATCTATGATCTCTGTGATTCTTGAGTTTATTGAAGCGCGAGTGGTTTAATTAATTAGCAAGTATCTACGCGCGGTATCGCACAGGTTAATATACGCACGGCTATGGGCGGTAAGAAAGTGTACAATTAAAATATCATATGGCACGAACGATTTGAGTTACATTTCTAGAAATCTAGATACACATAGACACATGTCTTAGCTATAATCTCTGTAAATTTTGAGTTTATTGAAGCACGATTAGTCTAATTAATTACTACGGACCATTGTACAGCGTATCCATACAGCGCTGTACTTAAGTGGCAGCGGTGTGCATGGATCCATTTGGAAACAACATGAAGTCAAATCCTGAGTTGGCGCAATTACCTCTCTGTATATAGGGACCCTACATGTTACATTCTCGCGGAGGTATGCACTCTCTTTGAGTGCCCACTGTCTAGTTGTATGTAATCTGCAACAAGCGCTGGCTGCCGCCATCGCTGCCGCTGCACACTGACACATAAATATATATTTTATGTTTATGTGTCTGTGCAGCGGCAGCCAGCGTTTGTTGCAGATGAGCTATGCCTATTAGATGGCATTTTCAGGAAATTGTCGGCAATAATAGGTAAACGAGAGTGTAGAAACATTAAGACTTTGGTAATAAATAGATTTCGTATTTATTTAGCATTCTATTTTATTGAAACGCTTCAAGTGCTTGTGGCCGTACCGGCGTACGAACACGTACGCCTCTCAACTCAACTGACACTGTGTACATGTAGGACGACTGGACGACTGTATGTTCATAACTCCTGAGTCCGTTATACTAGTAGAAGGAGCCGATAAACCGTACATCCACGGTACTAGTATAGAGGGGGAGTTGATCTGACATCGCTCTGGCACTCTCCCATATGTCTGTAGAGAACCTAGATACTAGTTTGATGTGACACGTACGTTTGTAATTTCTGTGCGCAGGTGCGAGTTCAGGTATCGGTGCTGCTACGGCCATCCACTTTGCCTCCCTTGGAGCCAAGCTAGCTCTGACAGGTAGAGACAAGGATTCCCTGGAGGCGACCAAGGCAAACTGCATAGAGGAAGGACTGGAAGAGAAAGAGGTGGAGCGCCGCAATTTTTCATCAATATGTAACAGTCGTCAATAACTGATTAGCACGCTATGGCAGCCGATTCCATAGATTGTTACTATAGCAACGCACGCGCACACAAACAATTCCTACATGCGTTTAGTCAGGGTCTAGATACTCAGCTGTTGCAGTTGAAAGTCGCTATACTGGTTACTGCAACGAGCAATGCAGTGTATTGACAATCTGGAATCCTAAAACACATCTTGAAATAGGTGCATCCTAACATGTCTTAACGGAGGTACATCCTCCAATACATCCTACAAACCTTATACCCAATGGAGATACTTTCTCCAAACCGTACCTAATGGAGGTACTTTCTCCAAACCGCACCTAATGGAGGTGAATTCTCAAATGTCGTAAAAAATATGCATCCTTGAAATATATGTCTTAGAGGAGGTTTATCCTCATTTTAAAGGTTGCATGTGCATTGTCGATGGCAGGTTCTGATGCGGTAATCTCCACTCGTGTTTCCAGGTGTTTCTGTGTGCCGGTGATTTAACTGTGGACGCAGACGTGGAGCGAATAATCAAGAAATGCACCGCGTATTACAAAGGCACCCTGGACGTACTGGTGCGTATTGACTCCACCCGTGTAACCATTCGCTCCGCCGCAGGGTTGTACAACAAAGTGCAGAGATGCCAACCACTACGATTTATTCGTATTTTATACGAATTTCTATTCCTTTTGCACCACTACGACCAGTTTGTATCAAACTACGAATTTCACTGTGATCGAAAAAAAATTTCTATTGTCATTATTTGTCCTCAGAATGCAGGAAATTGCTTCTCAGAATCAAACAATTTTCCGGGGGGCATGCCGGACCCCCTAGCAAACTCTGGTCACTACGTGACCCTCGAACTACTAATTTGATGGCCAGAAACTACAGATTGCTTCAAATATGTGTTGGCATCTCTGAAAGTGTGAAGGTACTATAGGGCGGGAAAGGGGGGGGGGTAGAGATGAGTTCGGTCGTAGACACAAGCGGATGATTAATTGTGTGTCGCTCGTGTTCGCTGTCCTAAAATAAGTCGTTGCGTGGGCCACAGTGAAGTGCTGTATATTTTAATGTCTGTCAGTGGTGTCACAAGGGGGGTGCGGGGGCTCACCGGGTGACATCATCAGAGGGGGTGACTTTAATTTTGCTAGTTACCTCCGCCAAGGAGGTAATGTAATCGGTCTCGTGTGTGTGTTCGTGTGTGTGTGTAGCCACTAGTGTTCGCGCGATCGATTCAGCAGCAGCTCGCCTTCGTGTGTGTGTGTAGCCACTAGTGTTCGCGCGATCGATTCAGCAGCAGCTCGCCTTAGGGCGTCGAGTCAGCAGCAGCTTGCCTTAGGGCGTCCAGTCAGCAGCAGCTCACCTTAGGGCGTTCAGTCAGCAGCAGCCAGCAGCGAGCCAGCTGTTATACACATGCATGTTACATGCTGGCAGAGGTATGCACTCTCCGTGAGTGCCCTCTGTCTAGTTGTTTATGTCACTACTATTGCAATTACATTCAGTGATATACGAGTAACATATTAGTATTCTGTATGGTCTGGTATGGGAGGAGATCCATGGGGGTGACACCATGAGTTACCGCACTCACTGCGTGACGCCAACCCTAGTGACGCCGCTAATGTCTGTTGTCACTTACTGTTGCTCATAGGGCCTATGTCCCCCAGGGTACTGCCGGAACGTAGCCTGGGTACGGTCCGGTATACAGGAACGTACCCTGCTAACTATTTGATATGGTTAGGGTTAGGGTTAGGGAGTAGGCAAAGGCGACTCCCTAGACTCGTTAGTGGAGTAGGTGAGGTACGGTCCGGCATATTAGATAGTACCAGGGTACGTTCCGGCAGTACCCTTGGGGACATAGACCCTCTCAGCTTTACTGTCGTCTTCTAGGTGAACAATGCAGGTATAGCGCGTCACGGCACCTTACTAGACACGACCATGGACGTGTACGATAGTGTGATGAGCATTAATATACGAGCCGTGTTCTACCTAACGCAGCTGGCTGCACCGTTCCTGATGGAAACTAAAGGTATGGGGAAAGGACTGGGGCATTGCAGGCCATCGTTGGGCACTGCTAAAACCTATGACTTTGGTTTTATGAGCATCATGAGATATAGGTCTCACAGAGAAGTGCACATAAGAATGATTACGAAGATCACATATAAGTCTGAAAAAGAGAATGAAGCAGAGGAGACGAGAGAGAGACGAGACGGGAGGAGAGACAGGGAGAGGGGAGAGGATAGGAGAGATGACAAGAGACATGAGAGAGAGAGAGAGAGAGAGAGAGAGAGAGAGAGAGAGAGAGGTGAAGAGAGTGAGAGGGATGAGAAGAGAGGCGAGAGACAAAGGGGGAGGAGGAGAGAAGAGGAAGAGGGAGAAAGGAAAGGGAGTAGATGTGGGAGATGGAGGATAAGAGAGAAATAAAAGAAAAAAAAATGTCTGTAATTGAGTTCAGTTAGAAAAAACACGTGGACTGCGAACGAATAATTAATATGACCGATCTTTGTTGCTTTTACAGGAGCGATAGTTAATGTATCGAGCGTGAATGGAGTACGATCAGTAAGTATAGACACGTTCAGTGCGAACACCATGTCACTTAATATCGGCTGCATCTATACTATGATATATAATGGAAACAGCAAAGTAATGTGTTTATTTAGCACCACCACTGTCTAGCTTATCATAGGTTCACCGTTGTTTGATTTTTTTGTATGTAATCTCACATTCCAGTAGCGTATATATATATATATATAATGTGTTTTCCTCTGTGGTATTTCCCAAGTAATTTATGATATATTGTGTCTACGTTCCAGTTTTATGGCACGAACGCTTACTGTATATCCAAGGCGGCATTGGACCAGTTTACACGCTGCACTGCTCTAGGTAAACAACCCAGTTTTTTGCGTTTTCTACTACTGCATGTGCTTGATATGTTCATCTATGCAGTTTACTGGTAAATGGAAAAGTTTGTGTCTAGTTTCGTGTCTAGTTCTGTTTTTGAACACGAGAAACTTTTTAAGGCATGATTTTACTGATGTTTAGCTGACTGAATGCATAATGCCATTGCATTGCATTGCATTTGTATTCCAGACATGGCCGCCTATGGAGTTCGATGCAATGCAGTCAAGTAAGATAGTCCAATATACATATATATAACGATCGCCTTGGATACACCTGATAAGATAGATATCGATCACATGCCTATTAACCTGTACCCTGTTTGACAGTCTGCATCACCTTTCAATGTTTTTATTTGTGGGCTTTTTTTTAGATCTGTTTTTATTGGTGTGTTTCATCTTGTTTCAGCCCTGGTATGATACCTACAAATATACTACAGCGTGCAGGCATGAGTGATGAGGCTTGTGAAGCGGTGAGTGGGGGAAGTATACACTATGGGGTAAGGTATAAGAGGGAGAGGACCACAGACAGCCAAATAAATAGACAGACAGACAGACAAAGAGAGCGAGACCGACAGACAGACAGGCAGTAGGCAGGTAAACAGAGCAGACAGGGAGGGAAGGCAGGCGGGTGTGAGAGAGAGAAGGGGGGGGGGGAGACAGACAGAGAGAGAAGCAGAAAAAGATTCGTGAGGTCATGCAGAAAGTCCAGGAAAGAGAGAAAGGGGATAAAGAGAGACAGTGGAATTGTGGAGGGAGGGGGAAGGACAAAGAGAGGCAGTAGAAGCATGGAGGGAGGGAGAGATGAAGGGAGACAGATGAGGTGTGGAACAGAACAAGGATGTAATCGCATAACATCGTAACATCGTAACATCGTAAACTATAGTTTGTCACCGACCCTCGCGTCTTCGTTATACAGTTCCTCGAGCGATGCAAGAGGACGCACGCCCTCGGCCGGATCGGGACAACGGATGAGGTTGCCAAGGCGATCGCATTTCTCGCTTCGGCCGAGTCTTCGTTCAGCACCGGAGCGACTTTCCCCGTCGATGGAGGCAGACACGCCATGTGTCCACGATGATCGGTGATGTCATCCGCGAACCCCACGATGATGTCATCCACGAACCCCACGATGATGTCATCCACGAACCCCACAATGATGTCATCCGCGAACGAACTACACATTAACACGATTATAACTTGAAAGCATTTCTGTGTCGCTCAAAGTATATTCTTCTTCTAAGGTGTAATGTTAGATAAATAGATTTGTAAATCATGTTACTTTATATCATCTGCAGTAGGAATGCGTTGTTAAAATTTTAATATAATAAATGTGTTAAAATATATAATATGTAGAAGTTCAATTTTAAAATTGAAGTTTTTTTATTGTTTTCGTATGAACGCTCAGACAACCAGCAGTATAAGGGGTGAATAATTACAAAAAATGGGATAAATAATGACAGAATTTTGATTATCCACCCCTGGCAGTATGTGAAGCGTGGCGATTCCATCATATAGTTGCAATATAATAATTTTTCCCATAAAAAAGACATTTATATACACTTCAATTGAAGCTTGGAACTCCCTACCACCTCACATTAGATCTGCAGCCAGATATATTAGTTTCAAAGGGCAAGTTAAAAAACACCTTATGGAAAAGGTTAAGACAATGGAAGACAGTGACTTCATATTTTACTAATCTCGTATAAATGAATAGATTAAATATAGGGGTGACATGATCTCATCACTGTATATCAGTGTATTTATACTTGATAAGAGTATTATATTATATATAATTATATTACACATATAAATATGAGTGTGGGGTGTATGTATGTATGCAATATGTATATAATGATGTACATACATGAGTGTCGAAATGATGGTAAAGTGTACCTTAATCACTTTGCCTGCACAGGCTATACTGAAGTTTTTTTCTTGTATCTATTTTTTCTTCATGTTGTATATGCACTGCTTTGTACTGTATCACTCAAAATTACCATTTTAACTGCCCAACCCTATTGCACTTTTCAATACGTTTATATCTATACAAATGTGAGTGTGTGCGAAATATGTTATATGTTTGTAATGTGGATATAATGGTGTACGAACCGAGTGTCGAAATGATGTGCTAAAAGGGTACTACTTGTAGAAAATTTGATGAAGTTTTTTTGTGTATTTAGTTTTTCTTCGTGTTTTTCTGCACTGCTTTGTACTGTATTCACTCAGGAAACATCATTTCTACCGGCTAAACATTTACCGTAATCAGATTACCTGTACAGAATATGCTGAAGTTTTTTTTTTTTTTTTCTCGTTTATATTTTTTCTTCATGTACCGGTATCTGTCTCTGTTTTGTATTGTATCACTCAGAAAGCTTCTATTTTTTCTTTTTTTTTCTTTTTAACTGCTCAACACTTACCTTAATCACTTTACTTGTACATAATATGCTGAAGTTTTTTTTTGTGTTTTTTTTTGTATATATTTTTTCTTCATGCTGTATTTCAATGTTTTGTACTGTAACACTAACAATGTATCACTAAGAAATTTTGGGGATCGTGGGTAAATATATGCTATATTTTATATTATAGTTTGTACAATGTTATGTTGGACCACAATGGAAATAAGTGTGTTAGCCACGCTTTTTTGTGTTTTCATCCTCGATAATTTTCTAGCTGCATTTTGTTTATTTATGCTGTTATCGATGTAATCATAGATGTAATGTATGCTGTAGTAATTATCGAAATAAATAAATCAAATTAAATCAAAAAATACTAGATGGCGCTAGTGGCACCACCACCGGAAATATAGCGCATGGTTTGAAAGTTGTAAAATTTTGTTGTTTTTGTATCGTCGAGCAGGAATTACGATGCCTAGATTATCAGACATTGCATCAGATAATGAAAACTATTTGTGCCTGAATGATATCCTTGCTTCGCATGAAAAAGTACCGTGTAAATTTGAAATGCCGGTGTTACGCCTAGGTGAGTGCATAGTTGTATGATTATTATTAGTGCACAAAGATCATGTTTATAACACAGTCACAGGCTATAGGCCTACAGAAGTACGGGCCCAAGGATAGAGAACATGGGTCCCAATAAAACCAATGTGCCTAAACCTAACCCTAACCCTAACCCTAACCCTAACCCTAATCCTAACCCTAATTCTATGCTAATTCTTGCTATTCTATTCTATGTAAATGACATTGTCATTGGTTTTATTGGGACCCATGTTCTCTATCCTTGAACCGAAGTACGCCTGTACGGTACCATACTCCTGATTATAAATAATAGATACCAGGTAGTATCTACACACGGGTAGTGATACTTTAGCAGGCCCGTAGCCAGGGGGGGTTCGGGGGGTTCGAACGAAAAACGAACCCCCCCCCCCCCAATATAAAGCTGGCTACGGGCCTGCTTTAGTATTTATAATCAAGAGTAAATGTACAGTAAAGGATAGTAATCGATGGACTCTTAGGTGGTTCCCAATGGCAATATTAATATATGTAGTTATATATATTTACTTTAGTAACTTATTGCTAATAAATTGATTATATATTTATATCTATCGCTGTTCAAATACTCCTCTGCAATACACTGTCGCAGCATACACGCCTATAGATGCTCATCTAGATACATGCACTCTACATAGTGCACAGACTACATGACATATCTTTGCATGCATGTATAAATTGCAAACCTATTCTCGATCTGTGTAGATAAGACAAAAATGCCACGTCTAAAGTTATATGCACCCGCCAATGTGAGGGGCAAATGACAAAAAACAGTTACTGTATAACCTTTTGGTGCAATAACTGTTCATGTATACGCGACAAAAAAGTCTGCAAAAAAATAACATTTTTGCTTAAACGCCGTTCTTGTGTTTGGGGCATAGGGTTTCTCGACACGGGCACGGATGTGGCGGACATTCGGCCAGGAGCGAAGCTGGAACTGCCGTACTGGCTCGCAAGGGCACTGTGCAACCGCCGACGTTCTATTGTTAGCGTGGAGCTACCCAAGCAGTATAGGTGTGTGTAGCAGGGTGGCATGTATATATATATACCCGAGCAATTTATATAAAAACATTTTGATATACCAAAGCACCACATATATAGAAATATTTTTATATACTTAAGCAGTACATATAGAAGCGTTTTGATATACCAAAGAAGTACATATAGAAATATGTAGATGTAACAGACCAGTATGTGTGTTTGTATGTATGTGCACATTTATATATGCATGTTTGTAAGTGCGTGTGTATGTACGTGCGTGTAAAGCTGTACATGTGCATATGTGTGTATGTATGTACGTGCGCGTATGTGCATATTTGTGTATGTATGTGACTGGGTATATCTGTATGTATGTGCATACATACAGACATACACAGGCACATACATACACACATGCATATATATGCAGCATATATATGTATGTATGTATGTATGTGCATATATACGTATGTGTGCCTGCCTGCAGCCTCTATGTGCACATCACAGAGGACCGGCAGCGCACGCACGCCCACACTCTAACACGCTCTCTCTCGCCGACACAGAGCCGGCTACCGTGAGATCCTGGAAGCGGACGCCAGCGTCGTCGACCTGCACAAGCTGGGACCGTTCTACTACGCGTTCGGCATGAAGCTTCTCAACTTTGAGCTGCCGGAGTCGCGCGACATTGCGACCTCGCTGCTGCAGGTGGGGGCCGCAATAGCTGCTGTAGTGTAACGGCAATGCTTCAGTAACTTCAGTTTCGCTTATAGGGTCTATGTCCCCCAGGGTACTGCCGGAACGTACCCTGGTAACTATCTAGCTGATATGGTTAGGGTTAGGGGTAAGGTTAGAGTTAGTGTTAGGGTTAGGGAGTAGGCGTAGGCAACTATATATATATAATGTAGCGATATATATATATAACGATGTCTATATTATACACGCCTGGCGTTATCGTATCTAGTGAGTCGGTGTCGCTTGGTACTACTCTGGGACACTGCATGGTGTATAAATCATCTTCATCATTGCCATCGTCGTCGTCGCCCCAATCATCCTAATCCAAGACCCTAACCCTGATCTAATATCAAGTATCCGAAGCACTAACCTAACTTTACCCTAATCCTAAACCCTAACCTAACCCCTAAACTTATTGTAAGCCATAAACCTCACCTAACCTAACCCCTAACCTTATCGTAAACCATAACCGTAACCTAGACATAATCCTAAGCCTTAAACTTACCGCTAAACATCTCCTAAACCATAACCCTAACCTAGGCAATCTTAACCTCTGACCTCATCTCGCGGCGGCGGGTACGTGCACGCTAGCGCCCCCTCACTGCCCTCTCTTTCTCTGCACAGACGTTTGTCACGCGTTTCCGCGGCATCATGGACTCGTCGCAGAACGCTCTCGACGCAGACATGGCGGCGCTCGTCGCTCGCCTCGACGACCACGAGAGGGCGCTGTTTGCGCTCGGACAGCGCGGGCTGCGGGCGCAGCAGCGCTGGGAGACGCGGCAGACGGACCGCATTACCGTCTCCGACATGGTGCTGACTCATCGCAAGCGCAAACGCACAGAGATGGAGACATCGTAGGTCGCAGAGGTCACGGCAAGGTCACGGAGAGGTCAGTGATGTATATAGACGCGTGTATATATCGTAGCATTTTAATAATTATAAATAATTAATCAATTAATAATATGATGCAGTGGAATTATTTTTGTCCAATTTATTGCCTGGTTTTGTTCTGTGTTGTTCAGTTTTTGATTTCTGACCAACGATAAGACGCGTGTGTATTTATAGCCATGTGTGGAATATATGCAGAGATGTACGGCTAATTGATAACTCTGTATAGAAGTACTGTATGTTACTGTAATATAATGTATGTACTGTAATGACGTAATCCTTGTATAAAAGCTGTGAATATATTTTTGCTTGCAATAATCCACTGTTGGTAAGCATTGGCTTTGAGTCTTGAAGATTACGTGAAAGATAGAGACATTCAACAACAATAGAACATTCAACAAGAATAGTTCAACTGACAAGTGTTTTATTCCTGATCGATTAACTTATTACATTTTTCTTTCATCATGTTCATGCAAGCACACAAGGCACATGGTGATATTTTACTATATAAGTACGGGTATATATACTACATAATTATGTAATATATATGTAGTAGTAACTTCTCTTCTAATGTAAAAATACAAAGAACATTCTATGCAACAATCAGTGACATTCACACGTGGTGACATCACGAGTCACGTTTTCAATAACCGCAACAACAAATTTACAATCACTAATTTCACACTACATTCACAAGAAATGAACGTTACTGTCACAGTGGTGCCATTTACAGCATCAGAAACTAGACGTTAGAAACTAGGACACTCTTGAATGGACGATCTGAGTGGATGCACGAGGTCACGCAGATGCCGTCACACACGCACACCGTCACACATGCTGTCACACGCACACCGTCACACATGCTGTCACATGTACACCGTCACACATGCTGTCACACGCACACCGCCACACATGATGTCACACGCACACCGTCGCACACCGTCACACATGCTGTCACATGCACACCGTCACACATGCTGTCACACGCACACCGCCACACATGATGTCACACGCACACCGTCGCACACCGTCACACATGCTGTCACATGCACACCGTCACACATGCTGTCACACGCACCCTGTCACACATGCTGTCACACGCCCACCGTCACACATGCTGTCACATGCACACCGTCACACATGCTGTCACACGCACACTGTCACACATGCTGTCACACGCACACCGTCACACATGCTGTCACATGCACATCGTCACATGCTGTCACATGCACACCGTCACACATGCTGTCACA